CAGCTCAAGCCCCGAAGCGGAACTGCGGCACTTTCATAACTCGCCAAAAGCCGCTCAGAAAAGGTTTTCATGGAAAAATCGGGCGTGCTACTGCAATTGTACGAACCGTTGGGCAAATGTTCAACGAGTTATGGTTTTTTGTTTGTTAACGGTTTCCCCCCAATCATTTTATATAGAGGAGATTATTCGCTTTTATAAAACCGAAACTCGAGCAAAACCCCCAAAGCGAACGAAAACTTTACTGCAGGGCAAAAATATGAAAAGTTTTCCTCAAACAGACACGCCCCCCAAAAAGGCGAATATGTGTCCGTGTTATGCACGTGTGTGTGTGGGGGCGGTAGAACTGCCTTTTTTGTGATTAGCATAAAGCTGCCAAAAGTCTGAGTCTGTTTCTGGCTTTGGTTGGAATCTGACTCTAACACTACGAGAAACGTGAATTCAATTGAAAACCAAAAATATATAAATACAATTTATTTCAATCTGAGGATGTCCATTACTATTTAATTATTTAAAATTTCCAAAATGAACTAAAAAATAGGCTTTTAAGAACAAGTTCTAGAGGGGTTTAGTTGTGTATAATTTTTTTGTTTTATCACATTACTTTAAATGTGGAATACCATAATGCTTCATTAAAAATGTATATTTTTTAATAGTTTTTAATATTTTCTGCTAGTGCATTCGAAGCCAATAAACATTTGTACTCGTACTCGGCTCTCCAAGACACCCACAGAGCTCAGCCCGGCTTCTAAATACCTTTAAAAATATTGGCAGCAGCAAGGCCAGTTTGTGTCCGTTTGTAACGAAAGCTGACCGGAAAGTCAGGCCGGGCTGCATCCACAATGTGCCCAATGGCCCAGACCCGGGACTCCGGACTCCGGACTCAGGACTCCGGACTCCGATCCTCTCCACTCGGATTTCGACTTGTTTGCATGTGTTGCGCACTTGCTGTGAGGCTTACCTTGCACATCTGCACTCACACGAGGGTGTGGTATTTTTTTTTGTTGGGGAATAAAGGGGGTGGGGCATTCGTATTTGGCAAGCTAAACGAGTTTAGTTGGCCAAACATTATCATAACTTGGTCGTTTGCAAGCCGCAATGGTGTAATCGTTTCATTTTTAAAACGTTTTCGGCATTTTTACGGTACTTTCCCAAAATGGCTGCCTTTCCGTTCATTATTTTGATGTCCGGTTGGGCAGCAGAAAGTGGAGAATGTGGAGGAGCTGGGAGCCCCAAAAACTACAGCTGCCTATTTAAAATGCAGTGTGTGGGCTCCCAGGGTAACGCTGCATACCGCATAATAATAAACTTTCACTTTTGGCAGGTTTACTCAACTGTAGTCTGCCTTTTTTCAGCTTATTCGACTTCAATTTAAGCGGCAAATAATTGCTTACCTCTGGGGGCCAAAAAAAAAGTGGGTAAGGGGGCTAAGTATCTGTGGGCGTTGAGGGTGGTTTTAACCCCTTTTCAAGGGGGGCCAATGACGGCCGCAGGTGTCGGCATATAATTAATTTTATGCATAATCAAGCAAAGTGAAATAAAAACGCCTATTAATTATAGTTTTTGCTGCCAGCCCTAAATAACTTTATTCGTGTCGGGTGTATGTGTGTGGGTGGAAATTAATTCAATGCGCTTAAATTTCACGTCTATTAGTCTCCGGAGTCCAACGCCAGTTTCTAATTTCCATACTGCTGCTGCTGTGTTTGGCATTTGGGCCATCCAACGCCACTCGCCGGGCAATTAATTTAGAATTTTAATACCCAAAGTCGCTGCTCCCAGCTAATTGTGGCCTGCAGAGTGACCCTGGCCTGGTGAAACCTTCTGCCGCACTAAACAGATAAAAAAAATGTTTTAAATTTCATATTCCCATGTTTCACAATGAAAACTCTTCCGAAGTCAAACATTTAATTTAAAATAATAGGTAGGATACAAGGATATTTTAATTATATTTTATTTGCGATCATATACAATAAATCAATTCAATCGAAAATTCGACCCAAAAATACAAACCAAAATAAAAACACTGATTTTTATAATTTGGAAAGAGGTTACATTGTAAAAATGACGAAAAATCGAGCCAAAATTACAAACCAAGATGAGTACACAGATTTTTAGGGGACTTAACCACAATCATTTTAAGGCATGCCATTTTGAAATCGGATGTGTATATCAAAAGTTATGGGCTTAGTAGTGCAGGTTTTTGCTCATTTTTCTGCAAAGCAATTTTTCGAAAATTTGGAAAGGGGTTACATTGTAAAAATGATGAAAAATCGACAAAAAAAATCAAGATGAGTACACAGATTTTTCGGGGATTAAACCACAATTATTTTGAGGTATGCCATTTTGAAATTGGATGTCTGCAACAAAAGTTATGGGGTTAGAAGTGCGGGTTTTGGTGAATTTTCTGCAAAGCCATTTTTCGAAAATTAGGAAAGCGGTTACATTGTGAAAATTATAGCAATTATAGCTAAATTTTTTACTGTGTGAAGTGAGTTAGCATGTTCATAAAGATCGATTTCATTCTTTAAAAAAGAGCTGGTGCGGCTCAAATTCCAGATACATCCGGGAGAAACCAAGGGTTAAGCGACCTTCGGTGGCTGAACATTAGGTGGGAACATTGGCGTGGCCAGAGAAACACCTGCCCGAACGGAAGCGGAAACTGTCAAAGGCACAACAAACAAACGCAGCGATGAAAAAACACCTACAGGGTGAGTGGGGGAGTGGCAGCAGGGAAAAAGGAGAAAAAACCATTAGACGACACAATTTACTAGGTCAGCAGCAAAGGATGGCAGGTGGCAGGGCAATAAAAACAAAAGTGCCAACTGGCTTGAGCCGAGTGGAAAGGCAGGGAAAACGGCAAGTGCCATGGACTCGAACTTGTGTGCAAACAGTTTAAAGTGCGACGACGGTGGCAAGTAATAAGACAAAGTGGAAATTTAATCAACAATAAACCTGAAACTGTTAAATAGGCAAACAAGGATGGTTAGAGGGTGGGCCCACGAAAATTGAGACAATGAAAAGCCCGTTATTTATGCGGTGGCCGGGCTAATTACGAAAATAAAACATGATTTATGGCCCAAAGGCGCAAATGAGCCATGATGTGTGTGTGGGTGGAGAGTTGTGAAAAGCTAGATTGAGCGGAAGGAAGACGGGGAAATGTATGAAACGGCAAACAAAGGACCTTCTTCCTTATATATAGTGCTCAAGTTGTGGGCCATTATTTGTGGATAATTGGTATGCGAGTCGCTCGCCAGATGAGTTGACAACTTGCGAATGATAGTCCGCAGCTGAGATGGCCCAAGTCAATGGTTCGGAAACAAACTGCAGGCAAATCAATCAGGCAAACACCCACAAAGGAAAAGGAAAAGAACTCGGGGACCAAGCTCATCATTATGGCTCATTAGCAAAGCAATTTTAGCGGGTGTGTAGTAAATGTGCGTCCCTCCTTCGCTTTTCCCATTTTCCTTTTGCCGCTTACTCGCATATTGAATGCTGCTAATTTGGCCATAAGCCGCTCAAGGCCCAAGCACTTCGTGCATAATGCCAAATCTCCCAGTGTGTCAACGTCGACAAAACTATGCCACCCACTAGCCATTTTCCCTTCATAAGACTTAGCCAAGCCTAAGCCAACTGCTTATTACTCGCATGTACAAGCTTGTGGGCCGAAAAAAGAAACAATGGGAAAAGCGCTGAAGTTACGCAATTTGGATCGACTGGGAAAACTAGTTCACTCGGAAATGGTTAAAGATGGAGCTGAAACTAAAATTAGGTAGTCTTCCCTTTAGTTCTGAAATATGAAGTGGTTAATTTCTAATCGCGAAAAGGTTTTGGAATTAAAAGTATATAGTTGTTTAGGTTTAATCGCGAAAAGGTTTTAGAATTTAAAATACAAGATTGTTCTAGACTTCCCTCGTTATGATGCTGTTTTGCATTTAGCGGCAGGACAAGGAAGAGATTGGGAATGGCGTAATGTGGTTGCGGTGGGCCAGGATCCCATGTGTCCATTATTCGGTGGAGGAACCAAGGATGCCACCCACACACGCACATGCTGGCTGGCTTACGGACAATCACCGCCGTCGAGGCTTGTTGATAGCCTTTATTGTCTGCAACTGCTGCGACTCTTAATGTCAACGAAGGTGGGGTGGCAAAGGGGTTGCATCTCTGGTGGAGAGTGGGTTTGGCGTGGTGTGGTTTGGTTTTGGGGGAGGGGGAGGGAGTGTTGCATGTTGACGTTGGCAACCGCAGCAACAAATGTACTAGGAGTCAGCAGCTGGGTGGGGCTGAAAACTGGGGGGCGGGATAAGCAAATGCAACAGCAACAGACTGCTGGCTCTCATTATGTGTAATGGCTGTAGCAACATCATCAACGGCCAGTAAACAACAACAAAAGGCGGCAGCAACGTCCACAACAACAACAACAACAACTGCTGTCAGGGAGTCCGAAATGACAACAATGCGCCAAAAAGGAGGAAGTCATGAATGCAATCTACCTGCACATTGCCGCCCGATTCCGAAAGGAATGAAAAGCCAGCGGAAAGCAAGGGAAAAGCAGAGGAAAAGCTGCTGCCAGCAGTTACTTACCGCCGCTGGCAGCAGCAGCAACAACAACAAAGGCCGAGCAACGAATACCTGTAATGGAAAATATGATCCAGAGTTGCAAAACATGCCTGCGAAAGGATCTCGGATGAATGTCACAACTTGGGGTCATTATATAAGAAGTACACTTAAAATTGTTCCAGTAACGAAGAGATATTTCGCTGTTTTGCAAACATTTCGTTTTAATTTATCCACCTGATCCAATTAATTCGAAGTGAAAATGAGATAGAGGTTGACTACCCTTAAAATAACTACATTTTTCATGATATAAACTTGTGTTCGCATCAATATATTTAAGAATCTCAACGCTAAGACCAAAAAACACTTTATTTTAGTATATTCCCTGTAATAGCTTATGGATAAACGTTAAACTAATCGCTTCTTCACCCTCTTCCTTACCATTTCAGCATGGACTTCACGAGTCTGGTCTGCTGCAGCCTGGCCTTCGTCCTATATCTGAACACCCTGAACGCTGGCTTCGTCTACGACGACAGGTAAGAGTCATTATGCCTAAGAAATCGGAGTAGCAAAATGTTCAAGCTTTCAGGCAAATTTATTAAAGTTGCGATAGCATATCCTGAATTGCGTTTCGTTACAAAAAATAAGGAGGAGAAGAAAGGTGGGCTGGGGAAAGTCGCCTGCGGCATGCCTTGATGCTGCAATGGAATTCCAGTGGTGCTTAAAATCGAATTTCAGCCAGGCAACCGCCCACACACACCCACACATAACAGGCTGCTCCACCGACTTTATGCGGCATTAGAGTGGCATTTGTTTATGTGAACCAGCGGCGGTGGAAAGCTGGGCAGGTGGGTTTTTGGGTGGGGCTGCCACCACCCCTTCGGCCTTTGCCATGATATACGAGCTGCTGGCACCGCCGTCGTCGTTGTCACGAACACCCGTCCAAAATCCTACAAAAGTCCGCCTGCCGTGCGTGCAGAGAGTGCACAGGTGGCAGAGTAGAAATACCGCAGGATACCCCGCACATTCGGAGGAGCAGGACTCCCGCCAAAGACCAAAATGCAAGCCCAGTTACGAGGCAGTGTGTTTGTGGGGGAAAAGCCAACAGGATACTAGTCGATGACGTTGGCAACGTAGTGGAAGTCGTTTTAAGAATGGTTGTTTGTGCACGGTGAAAAAGTAAGGAAAGATAGATCGCAGAAACCAGATTTTCAAAATTATATCTTAGAAGAGATCTGTTTTCAAAAATTAGTATTACTTGGTCTACCTTACGGACTTTTGAACATTATTATAAAGTTATTGGTGAATAAGATCAATACATTAATTCTGAAGACAAATTTTTAAAGGACATGCAATGTTTGGCCTAGTGCACTTACTTTTACAGTGTGTGTGGATGCCGATGATGCCGTCAATGACAAAACATCGAGACGCAGGCAGTTCGACTTAGCCTCGGCACAAAATGTGCACAATAAATGCATGGGTAGTTGTGTGTGGGACCCTTAATGACTGGACAAAAGTTGCTAGGTAGTTTTTTTACTAGCAGAAAAAATCCAAGGAGATTGAACTTAAATCGGAAATACGGGCAATTGCTTTGTTCTAGAGTCAGTGAAACAAAAATTCTAGTGGTAAAAACTGATTTGAAAATCAACATGATTGGTTTATACTTATTTCCGCTTTAAGCTCGATTTGTACTAGAATAAAATGAATCGTTTTGTTAAATTCCCAGCAATACAATATTTGTAATTATGCATAACCTAAATAACACATTAGGAACTTAAGGACTATACCAAAAAGCCTAGAAAATCAATCATTGACCGGAAATTGCCTTATGCTGTTTATTCTGTGAACCTCTTATCCTAATAGCTGAACATCTCCTTCCCTTTTGCAGACGCGCAATCCTGGCCAATGCGGATGTCTCGGGCGGAACTCCGTGGCAGCGGAGCTTCTCGAACGACTTCTGGGGCACTCCGCTGACGGACAGCGGATCCCACGGCTCGTGGCGACCGCTGTGCGTGCTCAGCTTCCGGCTGAACTATCTGATTGGAGGGGGATTTGCGCCGTGGGGCTTCCACCTGGTCAACAACCTGCTCCATTGTGTGGCCACAGCGTTGGTGGTGCGGGTGGCGCGCACCCTCTTGGCCTCCGTTTGGGCCGTTCTGGCCGCCGGCACCCTCTTTGCGGCCCATCCCATTCACACGGAGGCGGTGGCCGGGGTGGTGGGGCGGGCGGACGTGGCCGCCTGCGTCTGCTACCTGCTGACGTACCTCAGCTACCTGCGGCACATGAGGTGGCGCGAGTCCGGCGATCCCCGCCAGTGGCTGGGCCTGGGCGTCACCCTGCTCCTGGCCTTGGCCGGTCTACTCTGCAAGGAGACGGCCATCACGGCGCTCCTCGTTTGCGCCCTCTTCGACGTGATGCGCGGTCTGAGCGGCCAGGTGGACAAGGTGAGTCGGCAAATGATTAGAATACTGTTGCTCTTCCATAAGGAAACCCCCCATTCTCCATTTCAAATTTTGATGATTTTCAATAGGCTGGTAAATGAACATATATTATTTTTAGTCTTGTAACTTTGTATCCATTTATTTTAAGTCTTAAAAAAGAAAAAACATTTTTTTTTTTTGGCGGCGCATTCGATTTCCGCTTACTGGAACATCTGAAACCAAAAATTCCAACAGGATTAGGAAGAGTACATGTTTGGCTCTGGCATGAAAACAAATGAACAAATAGTTTTTGAGTAACCTTATGCGCCAGTCGTAAAAATATTTTTTCGAGAAAAACGCGTTTAAAGTTTTGAGAAGTTCTCGCCGTCGCCTGACGCTTCCACCATAAATCGTCTATATCTTCAAAAGTTTTTGAAAGCATCACTTGAAATTTTAAAAGAACATTCTTGAATAGGTTCAAATTAAATTTAAAAAATATCGTTTTTTTGAAACCGAGAATGGGGGTCCTTTTAAAGCTTTCCCATTTCTATAATCTATTCCCCATTTTCCACTCCCCTTTCTACAGCAACGCCTTCGATCCGTTTGCATAGTTCTGGGCGCTCTCTTCTGCGGCGCTTATTACCGCCTGGTCATCGTGCCCGGACCGCAGACGGCCTTCTCCAGCGCGGACAACCCCATTGCGAGGACTCCCTCCACCTGGACGAGATTGCTGACCTTCCTCTACCTGCCCGTTTTCAATTTGAGGCTGCTGCTCCAGCCGAATGTCTTGAGTTTCGACTGGGGCATGGATGCCCTGCCCAGAGTGACTTCTTTGTGGGATCGCCGGAATGCCCAGTCCGCCTGTTTTTATGCGGTGCTGGTGGGCGTGGCGTGGCTCAGTTGTCGGCAACTGGTGAGCGGGACCAAGGAGGTGACGCCCAAGGGGGATGCATCCTATCCGCAGTACCACATCCAGAAGGTGGCCAGTCGCAAGTCGCGCTCCAAGCGCAAGCGAATGGCCAACAACAGCAAGTACCAAGCCTTTGAGGCAGCCTATCATCACCCGGAAGCGCTTCCATGTCGGGATTGCAACAACAATAATAGCAGTGGCTATGTTTATGAAGGGAGTACCCACGTTTCGCAAGCCCAAGCCCAAAACCCTCACCTCGTGTCTTCCGCCTTTCGCGGCTCCCGAAGCAGCAGCAGTTGCAGCAATAGCACCAATAGCTCCACTTCCAGCTCCTCGAGTTCGAGTTCGAGTAGCAGTAGCTCCAGTTCGAGTGGTGGCTACCTCTGCTCCGCCAAGGACTACGCGCTGGAGGGGATGTCGCCGGGAAATCGACATGCCTGCGTCCTGCTAATGTCCTTCAGCTTCCTGGCTCTGCCCTTCCTGCCAGCCAGTAATCTGCTCTTCTACGTGGGATTTGTGGTGGCCGAACGACTGCTATACCTGCCCAGCGTGGGCTTCTGTCTACTGGTTGGATATGGCGTCTCCAAACTGATGGCCTGCAGCCAGAGAACCCGCTGTGCCCTACTACTGAGCTTCAGTGTCCTTTTGGCTGCCATGAGCCTGCGAACCTGGCGGAGGAACGCCGACTGGCGGGACGAGGAGAGCCTGTACCGCAGCGCCATTGCCATCAATCCGCCAAAGGGTAAGTGCTCCTCTCAGATCTCTTGTAGCGAAAAACCCGCTTATTCGATTCGCCTTTTCAGCGTTGGGCAATCTGGGCAGCGTACTCAGCTCGCAGGGGCGTTATGAGGAGGCCAAACATGTCCTGCAGGAGGCCATTAAATACAGGCCCAACATGGCGGATGTGCACTTTAATCTGTGAGTAACCAATAACTGACAATTTGGAGCACTTAGTCACCTTTTAACCAGGAGTTTGTGTTTTAGGCTTAGGAGAAATAGGTTCATTTATTGGTGTTTTAATCTTGCTTTCCATTTGTACTCCATTTTAAGATCACTGTATGATGAAATGATACATTTTCAAATAGTTTTTGATATAGACACTCTAATGAAACTCACGTAACGCAATTTATCTTGTTTGATTCTCATAAAAAAGTGTAAATCGGAACTGGCTTCATTATGTTGCCTAGCCACATGTGACAGGCAAAAGCGATGCAATAAATGGCAGCCATTTTCATTATCTTTTCATGCCACCCACATCTCAGGCCCTACATATAAACCCCTTGAAAACCCTTCGGTCGGGTGCGCATTTAGCGCGGCCATTTTATGCAACGTAGCAGCCCAGTTATGAGACTCCTTCCCCGGGAGACGGCAATACAATGCCGAACAAGCTGTCAAATGAAGCCCATTTCCCTTCTTTTTTCACGCTACCCGAGACACGCACCAATCCTCCAAGTCGCCATGCGACTGCATCCTTCGTCTCGTTTTCCCATTTGTATCCTGCTCAGGGCATTTGCGTGCCGCTGCAGAAACTATGCGCATTTCGTGATGCATGCACTGGGAGAAATGAAAATAAGGACTATTTCTGTCTTCTACCCTCTTAACTCTACGAATTAACCAACATTCGGTGTCCTTAACTTCGTGTTAAGCTTTCCCTGATCTGTTAAACTTCGAAATCCTTACCTGCCATGGTTAATCATTAAGTTCTTTTAGGGAAATGGAGGTCTTTTTTTTCCGTGTGCCTTCCAGGATGCTCGACAAAAATCCTTAGCTTTCACACTCTCTCCGTCCGTCGGTCTGTCCCGCTGTCAACGTCTGACAAAGTCTGTAAGCGTGCTCTGTTCGCCGCTTTCTGTGCTGTTCTATTCTGTTCTGTTCTGGTCCTCCTGTATAGTTATGGTATAGTACTCTGCTGGGTCTGTGTTTTGTCTGCTGTCTGTTGTCTGTTCGCATTGCATTTTTGCTCATTGCGCATATTTCACAGCAGCGACGCGATGCGACATAAAACGGGACAGAAGAAAAGCCAGCAGCGGCCGGAGTGGAAAAAGCGGAAATACAAAGCTAAAAAAGAAAAGAAAAGGGAAAGAAAAGTGAGCGCGGAGTTGCGCTTTGAATATTCAGTGCGTCATTTCGGGCTTTCCTTTTTACCGCCTGTCTGTCAACGTCAGGCGGCTTGTCGCAAGCCAGATTATTGCTTGTACTAACCCCGATTACCGGGCCCAACTCCTTTTCCCAGGCTAATGCCACAGTGCTCAAGTCAATGGTTCAGAACCAGGTCACAACTGCTAGGGCTGCCATTATGTGTGTCCTGTGGAAACCCTTCAACAGGCTGCCTACAAAGCGAACCACGCGCTAATCGAAAATCAATGTTGGCCCCCGACCGCAGCAGCCTTCCCCCAGTTTTCCCAGTTTTCCCAGCAATCCTGCGGATACACATCCCTGTACATACATTATTTACTGCGATCAAATCATCAATAGCAATGCTCGCGGCGCTGTCGCTTGCTTGACTGATTGCCATCTCCCTAGTCTCGAATCCGTACACATTCCCACATGTCCTTGTTGTTTGGCAGGACCAGCAGCAGGAGCAGCTGGAGCAGCCAAACACCGAAACCAGCAAATCACTGAGCTGTATAATTTGATTTTTTACTTTACCTAACGTCAAACATTCGTGATTTTATTGTCGGTATTGCTGCTGCACTTGTTGTGGTTCGCATTCGAATGGGAAACGTGAAAAGGACCCTCTATTTCCTTTTCCCTGAAATTGCTTGGGGAAAATTGCAAGGCAGTCGCCACTTTAAGAGTCAGCTGCTTGGCAGTAGCAAACTAATTACATAAATCCAAATACACCAAGGAAAAAGGTGGTTGAAATTCAGAGTTCACTCTTTGTTTTAAATTTAAACCTAAATAACTGATTATTTAATTAAAATGTATATGTTTTTTTATAAACAAAATATTTCCAGCTAAAAACAGTTTCCATAAACTGTGGAAAAAAAAATGAAAATGTTCTTTATTATTAAATATTTGCTAAATTACGGAATGAATAACATAGTATAGTTGTTTTTCAGGCAATTAATTGTTTGTAGTCTAAAAACATATTCTATAAAAGCATAGTCCAAAAGAATACTTTAGTTTTGTTCAGTGAAGTAGTAGTTGCTCATCTAGTTAGCAACCTTTTAACCACCCAAGGCACTCAACTTGTCAGGCTCTAGGGAATCTAAAAGAGGCCCAGTCTCTCCGATTTAGTCGCTCTAATTAGATCACAAGAGGTGGACAAGTTCAGTCTATTAATGTCAACACTTTCACTCTCGCTTCAGGGGCATCCTGCACCAGAATCAGCAGGTCTACCCAGCAGCCGTCGAGTGCTTTCAGCGTGCCATCAAGTTTCGACCAAATCTGGCGGGTGAGTTTACTCTGTTTTCCTTATTCAATGGTAGTGTTACTTACGATATTATCCCCTATAGTGGCCTACCTCAATCTAGGCATATCATTTATAGCGCTGGGCAAGCGACAGCAGGCCATCGAGATCCTGCAGGCGGGCTGCAATTTAGATGGGGCCTCTGTTCGAGATCGAGGGGCTCATGATCAGGCCCGCAGCTCGGCCTACTTGCAGCTGGGAGCCCTCTATGTGGAGCAGGGAAAACTCCAACGAGCTCTGGCTGTCTATCGAGAGGCTCTTTCTTCCCTGCCGGGATTACCGCACCAGCGGGAAGTCCTTTACCAGCGTATCGGGGATGTCCTTGGTCGCCTTCAGCAGTGGGACGAAGCGGAGCGCCACCATCGCGCCGCCCTCGAACTGCAGCCCAACCAGGTGGCTGCTCATCTTTCCTATGGCATCACTCTAGCCAGAAATGTAGGTCCTCCATATTATCTATTTTTATAGAAGAATATTTATAATTTGTTTGCTATTTCCATGCAGAGTAGTCGTGCCTCGGAAGCAGAGATGTGGTTCAAGCGAGCCCTGCAACTGGCACCCGACCAAGCCAGCGTTTATCATCATTATGGTGAGTACTTAATAAAGTCCTGGTTAAATTATTTTAACCTAAAGAATTAGTGGTGATATTATACCCTATTGGTTATCAATATCACTTAAAATTTATGTAAATCAGAGCAATGTAGAAAGGCAATCCTAATGCTGAAGAATTCACGGTTTCCCTTTTTTCCTTTCAGCCGAGTTTCTCTCGCTGCAGTCGCGTCATCATGAGTCCGCTATCTATCATCGCAGAGCCGCGGAATTAGCGCCCAACGATTATGCCCTGGTGGTGGCAGCTGCCACGGCAATGCGACTGCTGGACAGGAAAGTGGAGGCAGAGATGTGGTACAGAAAGGTGAGAAGACACCGATCATAAAAGAGACTTCCTTTTAAACCAAATACATCTCTCTTTCAGGCTGTGGTTCTGCGACCGGACGATGCCCATGCCCACACCAATCTGGGGGCCATATTGCATCTGCTGGGTCGCACGAATCATGCGGCTGCCAGTTATAAGGCGGCCCTGCGACTTCAGCCCGGAGATGCCATCACGCTGGGCAACCTGGCCAAGCTGGGTGTGACGAATGTCTAGCAATTGTAGTGGTCACTATAGCCAACCAGCTAATGATTAAGTTAATAAGCCACAGAGCAGAGATATTTTTATATATAGTAAACAAAAAGGGAAAAAAGGAAAGGAAGAGCGTTAGATAACTCTACAGAATTTATACAAAGGACTTCGATACATATGTATATCATTTAGCAGCTGGCAGCCGTGTAAATATCCAAGCAGCGACCAAAGAATGTCACAAAATAGATAGAGATACCGATACCAAAACGGAGCAGACAAAGATTGAGAGCTACAGATACAGATAGAATCAGTGGAGAAGCGACAGAGAGAACAATAATTAAAGTATCTAATTGTTAAGGGAACGAGTTACTGTACAGCTAAAGAAGCGGAATGGATCTATGGGAACGATGATTGGGTAACTACTCGTAATGTGCTTAAATATCCGTGTAAATTACTGTAAATATGAGACACCCACAGGGCAATTGTGTGGGTCATATTATTGACTATATATATACGATATGACTTGGCTTCTCGAGATTGTTTTGTCCGTTGTGTGTACATTTTAGTTAAGCAAATACAGATACCAATAAAGAAATGTATGGATTGTATAAAGATATGGCAAGGAGAATATATAATAAAACCAAATGAATTGAAATGAATGAAGTATGTGTTTTACTTGTATATTCCATCCCAGTCAACCCACCTCATAACCCGTAAGCCAGCTCAGTGGCACATTCCCTCCATAATTACAACCGCTTTGGCCACTGCACTCAACCTAAGCTCCACTTGCAGGACATTTATGCAGCCAAGGGAAATATTTTCAGTGCTCAACGGCTTAAGTCCCCTATCTCCCCGCCTTTTTACTGGCCCTATCTATCAGCCATCTCCCCATCCAGTTTAGCCCAAGTGCAAACACAATCAAAGTCAGAATTTTCGACCCAAGTCGTAGACGGCAAGGGCGCCACTTAAGCCGTGGGCAACCACAACAGGAAGTAAGGCGCTGTGTCTTCTGCCAACCAAATCGCAGGATTATGAATTACAATATACCCGAGTGCTCCTGCTCCTTGCTGCAGTCATAATATTGCCACAGCTAATGCCACGTCTAAATGGCCGGCTTGGCAAGCATTCCGGATTCTGGATTCCTCTGGGCCTGCGAGATGCCGGCGACCGATAAAGGTGATGACTTTTGACATCCGGGAGGAGCAAGTGCACTTCAGGGAGCACCACCAATTGGTTTGGCAAGTCGAGTGGCGGCTTGTTGGCCGCTGGCAGGCGCAGAACGTGCCCAAGAGCGAATAAATGAATGTATCAGACAGTCATAGTCACTCTGTCCGTCAGCCAGTCAGTTTCCCGTCAAACCGTCATCCCGTCAAGCGTCACTCCTGGCAGGACGAGGACCAGGACGAGAACGAGGACGAAGCTGCCTCCTCCAAAACAGTGTCATGTTGCCGGAGCCACTTTGTTGCAGGGGGAGACGCCACTAAATGCGCTCGTTCCTGAGAGCTGCTCACTAATTGCAGACGCCTCTGACTGCTCCTTCTAGTCGCCACCTATCATCTGGCTTTCTTACAAAGTGACTCGTTAGCTTTGTGGGCCAGCCAGCCACTGGGTGGCAAGAACTGGCGTTCAGTGCGCTAATTACTGACAGCCTCGGCGGCGAGTGCTCGGATTTATGACAAGACTTCGTCAGCGTCGATGGCTCCACTGGCCACTCAGCCCAGAGAATGAACCAGATCTGGGCATCCTCGGTTGGGTTACGTCTGAGTGGGCATGGAGAAGACCAGTGCTCGACAGGAGGTTACTGTGGTAATTACAAAAATTTAATAAAATACCATGACAATTTGTCAGAATAGTTAAATACATATTATTCAGTTTATTGGCTAAATAAACCAATTCGAAATCAGATATAGTTAAAGTAATGTAACCACAATCGGTAGGCCTCTATAAAAAAGTGCTAGCGATTTATAGGATTTTTCATTTGAGTATCCTGACTTTAAAAGGTGTGTTTACTATTGTTAATCATGATTGTTCTAACATTCCCCTTCTTTATATTACTACAGGGTACGTAAAGGCTTCGCCGGACAATGGCTTGGACCTGATTTACGGAAAGGCGTTTGGTTTGAGTATCATGAGTGTGGGCTGGTATCAAGGATGAGGACGAAAGGACCCCACCTGCCAAGTGCAGCGCCAGACGCAGCTAATTCGAGCTAATTATGGCCCGGAGCTGTGTGAACTGAAGACGACAGCCGACAAAAAAGCTTACACAATGTTTGATATGTGTAAAGCAAGGCCACACACACACAAACACACGGGCCACACACCGCTCTTTCTGGACAAAAAAGCAAAATCGCTTTGGTATTTTTATGTTTTAATTGTGGCTTACGTTTGATTTGGCCAAAGGGCAAATGCTTGAACACAACGGCCATGACAGGCGCAGAAAACAAAGGCAAACAAACATACGGGTGGTGGGGCCACTTTTATTTACAAGTGGGTGATGGCAGATCCGAAATCATTTGTTATTTGCACATTTGCCAAAAGTAGGAAAAACTTTGCCGGCCTCTCTTGCTTCTAAATCGTTTTTGATGAGGGTCGCCATGGGGATGGGCAGGTTGTTCAGGATGTTCAGGATGGTCAGGATGTTCAGGATGGTCAGGGATAGAAAGTCGGGAGGAGACCGGCAAATGCTCCCGCCTGACCACTTCGGTCAACTCCAAAAGTTTTACTATTGTGGTGCAGCCCGAGGCCAGAGATTCAGTCGTTGCTCATAAGCCATGTGTGCTCCAAGTTAACAGATTAGATATAATACTTTATTTTACACAAATAAATTAAGGTTTATTTTTTTTTTAAATAACCTAAATTAAATATAGTAAAGTAGCATTTAATGTTCTTAAAAAAATATCAAATGAAAGCGCTAATGAAAAGACATTTAGCATTTTGTAGTGTGCATACATACAGAGTACACACTGTACCATCGGCAACAATGTTAGCCAAGTCTGCAGGATCAGCACTCTTCAAGTGCAAACGTAATTTGACCACACACGCCATCAGCGAGTGATAAGTCGCGCCAGTTTATTCCCACAGCTTGGCGACTGCAACAAATATATCCATGTATGCACATAACATTCCATTCTCTCTCTCTGGGCACCGTTCTCAGAGATAAACATAAGCTAATATATAAGGCGGTTGCGTCGCTGCCGGCTTGACCGACAGCGCCGACCGCGCAACATAGAGCTAAGCCCAAATAGAATATAGGCCGGTCAGTCGAGAAACGACGGCAAGACAACGAAGTATCAATAAAAATAAATTATAAATTAAAATAAAACCAGTGCGTTTATATTTCTAACTAAAGTGCTGTGAACCATAAATTATATCTTAACATGGCGACCGTGACAGGACCAGCACCGGTACCGCCCGAGTCCAAAGGGCCCGGAACATCAAAAAATAACAGCCTGTGCGAGGACCAGCACCGGTACCGCCCGAGTCCAAAGGGCCCAGGACAATAAAAAAATAATAGCCTGTGCAAGGACCAGCACCGGCACCGCCCGAGTCAAAAAGGCCCAGGACCTTGAAGACGAGAAGATACTAAGGACAAGGATGCAGAAGAACAATTTTTTTTTTTGTATATATAAATATATTATAAAATTGTAAGTTTGAGCTGTACAAGAAGACGGCCCGAATTAGAACATTTTTTTGAAAGGCAGGAAAAATAATTTGTAAAAAGAATGGAAAATAATATAATAACGTACAACCAATTTTATTTTTAAAATATTTGTGTTATTTTGAGCTTTAAAAAGAAGATGGCCCAAAAAGATTATAAATAGGCAGGGAATTTTGAAAAAAAAAAAGTAGTAAATATATTAAATATTAAATGCGAATATATGTTTGAAAATTAATTTTTTTTTCAAAATAAAAAAAAAAAAAAATTTTTATAAAAAAAAAAAAAAAATGTAAAATAAGTAACCAGAATATAAGAATTCAAAAAAAAAACTATAAACTTTAACAACATTTTTTTAAATTACAATATTAGCATTGTCTTCTATTATTCTTTTAACTCCCCATGCAAAATTAAAAAATTACAATGGGTTGGTTCGGCTCAGACGACACCCAGTCTACGGGAAATAAAGCTAATGTTGTTAATAATGTTCAAATAGTTGATCATACGGATGCTATTAAGTCAATGTGGATACTACTTTTGATCCTGACAATTAGTAGCGTTGCTCAATTCGTGCTCGCATTATACGTTAAACATAATAAAATAATTAAAAGACGTTATATAAGCAGAGCTAACGACTTGGACAAGGTTTAAATTCATTTATCTTTTTTTTACCCTATTGGAGAAACACTCATTTTTTTTTGCATCTTTCTATAAAAGACATACATTTAAATATATTGTCCACCTAACAAGGATGGACCGTAAAACGAAAAATAATAAAAGGGAAAGGAGGATTAAGAAAAAAGGCATTTAAAAGAATAGCCGCCATTCGAAATGAATTAGCAGCCAGTGATAATACATCATGGGAACAAGCATGTGAACTTCACGCAGAGCTAGACTCCCTAAAAAAATTTGTAAGCTCTAAACTAAAGAAAAATCAAGAACCCGAAAAATGTTACAAAAAAATTGAAATCATCGGGGAAACTGTTGACAATAAATCTCCTCCAAAAGATAAATTTTTGCCAGTTCTTAAAAAGGAATGCCCGGCAGACTGCCCAGGCCCTTTATTGTCACCATACTGTGAATACACATGCAAACACACAAAGCCCCAAACATACTGGTCTGTAAAATAATAAAATAATAATAAAAATAAAATAAAAACAAAAAAAAAATTTTTTTTATTTACAAATCTGTTTTTTTATTATGGATACAAACAGATGTATAGAAAAAACACGGGAAAGGGAACCCATGTTCGATTATAGAGTAAGATCTATCCTCGAAACACTTTGGAACCCCATCTCAGTGTATGAACTAGAAATTGAATATATGGAAAAATTCAACCTAAGTAGTTCCCCATTAATACATTGTAATAATACGCAAAAAGCTATAGTATTATCAACAATACAAAACTGTAAGGTTTTTTCCGTCATTGACAAAAATGCATTGCTTGGCAATATAATAATCTTTAAAATTATTATGAAATAAAGCCTAATGGATTGGAAAACTATTTCTGATAAATTAAAAGAAATAAGAACAAATTTCGACAAGTCATACAAATGTCTTTCGCAAAACCGAAATGTTCAGGGAACAACCATACAAAAACACGCTAAAGTTCTAGTAGACAGCTTTAATGAAGCACGCCTTATAATTTACGAACACAGAGATAAATTATCCAGTAAACACTGGACAGATATCTCAAAATTATTATCTAAATTTAAAAACAATCTTAAAAATATAAAAGAAAAATATAAGTTAGACATTTTAATTCCATCTATCCTTAATACACCATTAACATTTGAGGAGGAATTGAAATTAGAAGAAATAGAAGATAAAGATTCCGATACGGAAAATTTAGTCGAAACAAACAAAGAAACAGAATTCCCAAAAACCGAGGACATACACAACCTGACTATTCCAGCGGTATTAACGCTGACCGAACTGTCGGATTCCGAAGAAAATATATCATACGAAAATTTGGAAAATAATATAATCAATATGACGGACGACTCGATTGCCAATA